GCAGATAAAGGATTTTTTAAGAATTAAAGTTAATTTTATTTTTGAAAATAGAACTTTTCTATGTAAGTGGACTCTTGAGAATATGCTAGTACCATTTAGGATACAAATGTCAAAAATTATCAATTTGGGAAATATTTCAAACTTTTATATAAAATATCTCACTTTTCAATTTAAATTATCTCACGAACTGTAGTTCCATTAAGAAATCAGAATTCATCTCCAAATCATCCACAAAAAAAGTTATTACCGCTATATTATGATTTATGTCATATAACTTTTATAAATCAAGGTCATTAATATTTCTAAAAATAATTGAGTGATTAAACGTGTACTATACATCTAAGACACAATACCTCTCTTCGGTTTATAATATTATGAATACTAAGTTAAAAGTTCTGCCCTGGGAATGAAAGGATCGAACGTATATAGGCAAATATCAGAGTTCACCTATGATATCGCGAATTATACAAATAACATCTACAGTATTCCACTGTTATTTGACGAATGTATAATTTTGTTAAATAACCGTGGAACAGAATTTTTATCACACATTTTTCATTATATCCTTACGACATATAGATTTCAATATTATAAATATTATATTATTAAAAACATTTCTATACTCTGCGATTAAACGTATTTTATAAGAAAATTTGCCATGATTCTAGTAACTTACAAATCTGTTCTCATATTGATATATGGGAAAATATAAGGATCAATCATTTTCGTTAATACTTGGAACGGATTAGGCAAGAAACGTAACTAGTTAAATAACAGTGGAATACTGTGTAGAGCTTACAAACCCTTACAAATCCTATGTTCAAAAGTGTACTATTTTACGCACGTATAAGGATGCTAACACATCACCAGAGATGGATATCAAAACCACTTGTTAAAGTTGACGATATTAACTAGTTCCCGGTATACTATCAAATATAGCTTGTAGAGTACTCATTTCATTAAATAAAAATGAAATGAGATGTCTTGCTGCAGATAATAAAACGCGATAAGAAAAATATGCGATTGAAAAAATGTCAATTAAAATCGGCCGATATTCGAGAAAGCGGCGAACAGAGGTGTCGTTGTCGTGGCCGGTTGCTGATCGCCGATGCTTTTGAGCAAATTGCCTTGCAACAGACTGTCAAGTGCCTTTTGAACTGTCGGATCGTTTAGCAGAGGTGATGGTGAAACTCCCGTAGTGGTAGTTGTCGTGGACGCTGTTGTGGCAGTTGATGCTGCTGGCATAACATGATGTACTCATGTAGTTAGCGGTTGTAATACCAGCAATAAATATATTTGAAGTTCGTTCGCTTTGATCACTGCATCATGGCGGAAACAGGCACAAGAACACTACACGCACTGAGAACTCGATTAAAAAATATTCCAAAGCGTACGAAGTTCGTTTTACAATCAAATCACTTGTGCTTAGCAATCAAAAATTTTTACCTCAATCTATTTGTCTAAATTTAGACAAAACGAATGTTTATAATATTCTCCATTCGAAATTTCTTTGTTAGAAATTTCATTGAACAACTTGAAAAGGAATTATTGTTTCTTTGAACATGTTCATGAAGTACGCATAAACAAATCCAACAAGATATGTAGAAAAATGAACATTCTTCGAATCGTTGAAACGCTTCCGAAACGATCTTTTTAAAAGTGCAAAATCGAGCTGCAAAAGATCTGTGAAAATATTTCTCGCGTCACGAATAATCGGATGTCGATAATTTCAGAGAAGTAAATGCCACAGTTAAAATACATAACTGTTACGCGAGGAAAGAAAAAAAAAACGAAAAAACCGCACCATTATCATGTGCATGTTGTAATGTTGTAAAAATTTGCTGGAACAAAGACTAATACCTAATTTTGATATTATGGTTCCCTGATCATAAACACCCTACAATAATACTTTAGTCGGACTTCAAGAATAAAACGTTTGTAACTTTTACCTGATCCCCAAGTAGCTGGTGGGACAGGAGTTGGCGCAGATGTTGGTGCTGGTACTGGACTAGGAACAGGCGCTGTGGAACTTGTTTTATTACTATTTAAAATATTGAGTATCCTTGATTGTAGTTCAGCTTGCTTTGGATCACTGACTGCTATCGTCGTCGTTGTAGTTGGTAAATCTTTAACGTCTCCCAACTCCACTTGTACTTGTTCTTCCCGTTTAATCTCAAGATACTTAATCACACGATCGTACTGTAGTACTGTTAATTGGTGATTATCGGCTAACATATTTAAAAGAACTTGAATAGCATCGGGATGTCTTTCGTTCGCAAATGGCGTATTCAACGGCACAGATCGTCCACCAGCTTTATAATTGGCGAAGTCTCGCGATATTAAACTAATGGCATCCTCGACGAGCATGTTTCTGTGCTCTACATGAAAATTTTGAGTTTTATTAAAATAGTAAATGATATGATCGTTATGGTATTGAAGTAAATACCTTGTGGTAAACCATGAAGAATATTTAGCGTTAAGGAATGATGTTCTTGATTGATCGGCGTAACTACAACAGCATACAAACATCCACGACTTGCTATATTTCCTAAAACTCTACTGAGAAGTACATCTTCATTTGGAAATAGTAAATCAACGGTTAGTCCAATTTTTTTTAGCCTTGCCTCAATACTCTCTGCATACTCCCTATTGTTGTAAGTAACAATTAGAAGAACAATCGGAATTTATTTCTCATGAAGTGTAAAGTTAAATCTATCAATCATAATTCTAACACTAATTGTAGGCAAGGAGTTTAGATGTTTAGAAATGATCTTCACATAGCCTTGACAACTTGATTTAACTTTACAACTGGTTTTAAGAAACACACATATCTTTTTATACATACGTTAATGCTTTGTTGACAACAATAATTTCACAGTCATTTTTTTCAGTTGTTGCATTAGAATACTCACTCGTGGTACTTGAATTGCTAATGATTAAAGTAACAGCACAATTAATAACGTATACAAACAATATTACTGATAACAAATGCTGTAACTTACTTAAAACTCATATTTATATCCCTTGGTCCACTATTTTTAAAATCTTCATAACGATTGTTGCCATCATTAAAAGAATCTCTGTTAAAATTATTGTTTCTTGGTCTGTCACCCTGTTTATGATCCCATTCTCTACCACCTTTGTCTTCTAAACGAGCATTTCTGTTAACAGGACTACGATCTCTGAAGTTATTTCCTCCTGAGCTATCCCTATTTTTATTTCGATTTTTCCCAGCTCTATTACCTCTTGCTCTGCCACCTCCACCACTATTTACTCCTCCACTACTTTGATTATGATTGTTCTGATTATTCACATTTCGATTTTGATTCCCTCCTGGTTTATTTTGATTTCCACCAGGTCCAAATTGATTGCCACCTCTGTTCTGATTACCTGGACTAAATTGATTAGCCCCTTTATTTTGTATCATGTTATTAAACTGATCGTTTCCATTATTTCTATTTTGATTTCCAAATTGTTCATTGTTCTGATTTCCATCACCAAATTGATCGTTCCGATTTTGGATGGCGTTCCCTTTTGGAGTATCACTCATCTGCGCATCAGAACCAAAACTTTGGTTTGAAGTAAAAGAGGAATTTCCTCCAAAACTTTGGTTTCCACTATTGAAAGAATCGTTCCCAGAATTAAAATGATTGTTGTTAGAATTAAACTGATTATTTGGACCACCTTGTTGTTTTGGCCCGCCACCACCAGACTGGCTATCTTTCTTTGCTGGTCTAACATCTATTGAAAACATGACAAGTATTTAGTTTGAAACAAAAGAGAAATCTGATATTTGGTAATAAAAATACCTATTCGTCTGCCTTTGAACATAGCACCATTTTCATTTTGTATAGCTTTCTGTGCAGACTGTTCTTCCTCGAACTGAACAAAACCGAAACCTCGATTTATCGCCGAACCAATAACCTTTCCATATTTTGAGAAATGTTCCTCCAGTTCGTGTTTGGTCATATCATCCGTTTGCAAATGACCCACAAATATGCGACAATTCACGGTTGCAGGATCTTTTAACATTCTTACACTCATCTTGACACAGCTTCTCTTCCAAGATTAATTCTTTACAGAAAGAAATATCTATAGAACGTTGATTTACATTCGATTAATAAAGCAAATAGAGGTTAAATTACAATGCTGACGTTTACTTCTTCCAATTTATCCCGCTCGAATAGATTTCAATTCGCGCAATGATAAAGCAGCGTGCAGTAACACCGTATTTTTAAATTTGCTCTATTTTGCCTCCATTTGTTCACAGAACAATAATATTGTCGTAGCGATGCAGATTTCAAAACAGGAACCGTCAATCAACAATTGAAGGCTAAACCAACTTTTGCGATGGCGTGCGTGTGCGTATACGAGACTCGCCACTATATGTGAAAGTATGTGCTGTTCATATATGTACATATACATGTGTTCTGTTCTGTTTTCAAACACGCGAGAGAACATTAAATGTACTTCACGTTCTTGCTACAGTTAATTACCTTTGATCCTATAACTACAAAATGTATCAGAGGAGAAATTCCTATTGTAGAATTTTCTACGTTTGTTTCATCAAATTGAGGGATCCTACTATCCTAGATGTATACAACGTTGTCACTTCTTCGAAAGCGCGGCGATATTTCAAATACGATATTTCATAGATGTAACAAATATACGCAATTTCATGTTGTAGAATCTACAATGTTTTTTGTAGACTTGAAACGAGTTTCATTCCAATTTTATGTAGATATTAAAAAGATACGATTTCTAATCCAGATAGTTTTGCTTCCGTAAGAATAATTTGCGGAAAGCTATACAAGGATGCTAAAGTTATCCAATCTTTTGGTACACGAATGTCAAAGATTTAAATTGCCAAAAGTTTCACCACTGACATGTTCCGTGTTGTTAGCACGAGATGGCACACTGGTTTCCGGCCAAACTGTTGCAGCGAGTCGAACAATTGTGTCCATGTTACGGCCATTTCCGCGTCTCTATCCACCGTGACCGTGATGTCCATTCTATCGGTGCGAGGGAAAATTCTATAGGGAAGAAAGCTAGGAACACAGGGTCGTGTGATGTTGGCTAGGCTACAGATTGTTTCGTTGGTTTCGAAGTTTCGACACAGCTCGCACGGCTACGGGACGGCCAAGAATAGCAAAGAGCACGCGAATCTAGCCGCCTTGTAACCGAGTCTGGTGAAGGCGACCGACCGCTCCCTCCGTGGTCCGTCAGAACGAGCGATTATTTAACGTAAAATAATTTTCATCGCGCGACACACGCGATCCGTGTTCGTAGTCGTATATGGAGGTAAGAAGCGGAAAACGGCGGTTTCAGCGTGTCGAATCACGCAAAGTGAACTGAATAGTGTAGTGGCCTCGGTGAAGTAAGATCCAAAAAACGCGGAGAAGAAGAAAAGAACGAGATAGAGAGAGCGAAAGAGAGAGCGAGCGAGCGAGAGAGAAAGAGAGCACGTAGAAGGATAGGGGAAAGAGAAGAAGAGACCGTGCGAAGTGGTTAGAAGGTTCTACGAGTGCAATCGTGCGTGTTTTCTCGGGCAATGTCTGTCGAGAGTCGTTCGAGCTCGGCCCTGTTTAAGAGGGCTGAACAGCTCAAACGTTGGGAACAGTCCGAAACGAATCGTGAACCGGCCCTACCACGTCAGGTTGCCAGGAAGATTAAGTTCTCCGCGGATTGCGTGTTCCTTGCAGCGTGTGCGGCAGGCGACAAGGAGGAGGTCGTACGATTACTCCAAAAGGGGGCGGATATCAACACCGGAAACGTAGATGGTCTCACGGCGTTACACCAGGTACGATCATCCTCCTTCTCATTCCCCCCTTTCTTCCGCGCTTCTGTTTATACACCACGATTCCTTCCGATATACATCTCTGTCTGTACAACACGCAACTACTTCCGACCGAGTTTTCCCAGTCTTCGCTTTCTCCCTCTATGTTTTTCTTCCCCCTCAATCGTAAATTCTTATCGCAAGATGGCTACTACATAACATACTCCAGCTGTCTAATTTAAGTGCGATCGCTAGCAAAACTTTTCCTCCTGTACTATCGATGTCACGCATTTAACCCACGAACGGATCGACCGGCGCGGCACACCGCGGTTCCGAGATCCACTGACCCATGCTGATCTTCATGTACCAGTGGCGAAATTTCAATCAATCATTAACATCCAGAACTACCGTGCAACCAAAATTGTTCCGGTTTGCGATTTCCTGAGAAAACGCTAAGGATTTGTATCTCGGCTTGACTTCCACTGTCATGCTTGTACGGAATCGATTAATATACTTAATCGTTCGCGACAAAACGAACATCGTAATTTCAATAGAAAATTATAATTAATAACGCCGCTTGTTCGGCTGTTCGATATTCAATATTAATGTTTGATGATCATGATTGTTTTATTTCATATAGTATGAAAAAATGACTATTTACACGCGATGTTGTCTTTTTACTAACTTATATTTGCTTGAGGGTGTTATGCATGTAGTGAAGAAATGGTCAGGCTAGAGAGTAATTAACAGAATTTACTCCGTGTTGCCCTGGCTATTGTAATTGTAGTTTCACAATTATTTACACTGATAACGTCTCTGATGCTGCCACATCTTTAGAGTAATACTAAATAAAAAGAATTTGTATTAAATGTTAATTTATTTGAAGTGCATGCGTCTTTGAAATTGCAAATGTTTACAATGATTGAATACTCTACAGATCTTTGTTTATTTAGATGTTTACATTATATATCTATTTTTTCTTTCCTTGCAGATAATTTTTTTACTAATGATGTATATATTTTGTTATTTTATGTCACGATGATCAGCACTATGAATGTGATGATGTTGATATATTACATATACAACAGCGGACATATCGTTAATAATACAATTGTTTGCATGAAATTTTTTAATATCAGGTTTTTTAGTATTATATGAATAAACATACAAATGCTACATGTTTTGGCACAATGCTTAAATTATTGACACTGCTAAAATAGGTTGAAGTTAGGATAGGGCTTAAAATAGCCCTGTAAAAGACGTTCATTTTGGTAGTGGCTCAAAATATAAAAACATTGCTATTTCACAAAGATTAATGTTAATTTAAATCTTAAGATTTTTTTTAAATTTTAGTTATAAGTATGTAATACCATAATAATAATTAAAAGGCACATATTAATACAAATTTTTGTTTATATTTTAAGAAAAACGATT